CGTCGCACTGTGATGACGTCAAATGCGCGCTTTCGTCGAGCGCGATTTTGTCCTCCGCGGTTTTGACGGGTCACGGGATCTTTTAGCCCCAACTGGACTGAGCCCACACGTTTTAACTTTTTTTTTTCTTCAAATTAACTATTAATAAAACCCAAATACCGTTCACTCATCACAAAATCTCCAGAACTGTGAAGCCTACAAACTTGAAATTCAGCACGTATGTTCCTCTTGTCTTCGAGGTGCTTGCTAAGAAAGGATTTTTCAAAATGACCATCATCAGATCATCAGTATTTCCTATCCAGTATTATATTAACATGCATTGATGGGTGAAATGAGGACCCAGACTGTGGGGGCGATATGCTGACTCTGTAAACCGCTTAGAGAGGGCTGAAAGCCCTATGAAGCGGTATATAAGTCTAACTGCTATTGCTATTCTAAATACATGCCAGTTGCCAAGGGGCGGGCTTTTGATCACGTGACCACAGGAATGCCCCAGCAGTTGTAAGTGCAACGATGGGTTGTAAGTCCCTTTAACCAGCTCCGTGGTAATTCTGAACAATTGTCAAACAAGTCAACGTCTTCCTGTACTGGGGAGACTCTTGAGAGACATGGATTCCCATCCACTCTGTGTTCATTCCTTAGCACAGAATGGAGATCAGACTGGCCTCATTCCTTGTGGAGGTGTTGTGGCGGCTCCGACAGGGGAGGGATGGTCCCATCATTGTCTTGCTTTCTTCCTCAAAAACATTTTAAACCATCCATCAAAATTCTTTTTAGCTGCCTCCAAGTGTTGTGGCTCTTTTATTTTATTTTTTTTAAAAGGGACGTGGGAATTCTTGTTGGGGAATGGGAATGTCGCGTGGCGGAGTGGCTCCGGGCTCCGTCCTCTCCAATTTTCTTCATCATTCGTATGATGACGCTCCGGGGCAGGTCATCTTGTCAGTTTGTGTAGCGATGTTGTCAATCTAAAATAAAACCCTACCTGCTATTTACAAGGCCACAAGCTACGGGACTCGGCGAAGCATTTGACATCCCTATTCTCTTGCCGTATGAGGAGAAGCAGATCCGCAGTGACTCATTCCTAACATAGATTCAGCTGGATTCTGTTTAGCACATTGTCATGGCAAAAAAGAAAAACGAACATAAACTACATCTCCTGTGGGGGAATAGTTTCCATGCAACATGTAACATGTTTGGACTGAAATTAAAATTCCCTAGAAAATCTCAGGCTTTAAATAATTTAAAGTTGGTTCTCCTTGGCATTGTTAAAGCTTGGTCCTTTAAGTCCTACACTGTCCCTGAAAAAAGAGTTTCTCTCTTTTTTCCTTATCTTTCACATTTCTTTCTTTTTTTTCTTCCTTTTCATTTTACCCCTTGTCTCCTCTCTTCTTTCCTCTGTTGTCTTCCTCCTTCTGTATTCTATCCAATCCAACAGTAATTCTTTAAATATTGAGGACAATGTTAGTTTAGTTTATCAACAACTATTTGTAATAAAAAAAATGTCAGAACCTGAACCTTTCACTGTGAGGACTGCAGATTTTGTACACACAACATGGGTGTGTATTTGTACAGATATACTAGAGGCAGCAAGTATTTGTAAATTTTTATATTTATTATAACAAAAATTATGACATGTTCATTTGTGCATTCTTCTTTAATATAACTCTTGGTATGTAAATGATCTACAGTAAATGAACTCTATACAATCATGCTGGTTGTGACAGCCGGGAGGAACACACAAAAATGTGCCAAAAAAGTTAATGGTGAAGACTGGGGGAAAAAAAAAAATTAACATAAGGAGGACCTGTGGCCCACCGAAGTCTGCCCAGCTTGTTACAGCTGCTCCTGCTAATTTTGTATGGATTGGAATCCAAAAAAATGTCATCATTTGTGGGCAACTTCACTTGAGAACATAGTCGTGTCCCGTCCCGTCCCCCTTGGTGACTTGGGCCCCGCCAAATCAAGATGGTGGTACAGACCCAACAGGTCATCGGGGCCTCACACATTTCATCACCTTCACCCGCTGAGAGGACTCCGCGTTGATAGGATTTTCCTGCCCTCCCAATTTGGTGGCATCGATGGTAGCTTTGACGTACATGCGAAAGCTCCCGGGTGTACATGGAAACAGGTGTGTGTGTGTGTGTGTGTTGGGGAGGGGGGCAAAATGTCAGTTTATTAGGTTGTGCCCTCCTTGCCAGGTCTACAAAAACATGTGAAGCATCACTATATAACACTGAGTTATTTACAGGAATTTCCCAATCAGCTGTTCTCTCAGAGAAAATTAGTGAGTCTCAGTGACTTACAGCCACCTGAAAGAGTAAAAGCAACTCCTAGGAGTTAGTCTCCATAATTCTACAAATGTCTATCCATTTTCAAGACCAAAAAAAGCCTTTTTTTTTCTCTCAAAGAAATAACAGTATTACAATATTACTTAATCATTTAGCACTGGCGATACTGCCCCGTTTTCCAAACAGACAGACAGAGGGGGGGGGAAGGGGGGAGAAAAAAGGAGAACAATTTTAAAAAATATTACACAAACGTCATCATCAGCTTCTTTGTAATATATTAAACCTTTTGTATTTTAATTTTTCTCCACTTGTTTTGTACACATCTGATATGTTAAGGAAGGGAAGGAGTTAAACTAGATTAATTTCTAACCAGTGAAGCATCACTAGAAAAAAAAAGGGGGGGGGGAAGTTGGTGATCATTAGAGCTAACAATCAAGAAGCAGCTGCACTTCTCCGTTAAAGGGAAGGATCTGGAAGAGAAAGTGGAACAAAAGCTTTCTTCCTTCCTCACCTCATTAGTGTAATACAAACCTAAGGAGCTTCCAATTCTTAATGTCTTGTTAGCTTGTTTCCCAAAGTTCCGTCATAGCGGTGTGTCGTAATAATCGGGCAGTTGGTCCAGTTGATATTGACGCTGTTGTTGTTGTTGCTGCTGCTGTTGTTGTTGCTGTTGTTGTTGCTGTTGTTGTTGTTGCTGTTGCTGCTCATGATGTTGCTTCATTATCTCCTTCACCTCCTCCTCAAGCTCTGGCGGGATGATGAACTGATCGTCCGGATCTGGCTGAGCTGGAGCGGCAAAATAGCCCCCGGTCTTCCTGAGTGGCGCGTCGG